GCTCACATTAGTACGTGATTTGCTTTCGCTGGAAGCAAGCAACTTGCTGCAAAACCGCTTCTGTCCTGACGTACAACCCCATCCTTGCAATCTGCTGCCAACATTCGACTCAGAGTACCGATGCATGACGTACATCAATGCAACGGCCTATAAAATGGTAAAGCATCGAGGTTATTGAGGGATGGTAGGTATTTCCTGGAAAAGCAGCTGCTACCCGGGAATGGATGGTAGCTTCCAGTTCTTCTGTGCTCAGAAGAAGATTCTCACAAAGAGGCGTCTTAAATAACATAGGGACCTCTTTAAACACAGATCTTGTCATTGATGCTTCTTGCTTCGTGCCTGATTGTGGCGGACCTTCTGGTTTACCATAACTGCTCAGGAACATGCGCTCCGTCGTATTTCGCCCAGTGTGCATCCCATACTGTTCAGGGTCTGCTGGTGGTGCACTTTGAGATATAGTTCGATATGCTGAGCGGTTTATTAATTTATAATTTTCTGATTGAAACGTAATTTTCTTCGGCACGCAGTACTGTATATCCTCAGATGCCATGACAGGTTACAATGGCATACGCAATGCCGCCGCTGTCGACTAAACGTCCTACAGCGAACGCAGGTATAGGACACATAAGTTCTTTGAAAGCGCCGTGATAGAGAATGGTTGTCCGGATGATAGTGGTCCATTGACCGTTCTTTCGGTGTTCTGCACTGCAGTTGATTCGTTCTCTTATTGTAGACCAGGCAAGACGTTGGTTATGGGGGAATACTGTGAATGTTATATTACTTTTACATGAAGGCGTTTAGCTTTTGTGTCTAGCATCTGCGTTCTCCGTGGGACGTGTATTCGACAGCGGTTAGCAGACAGATTGCAGTATTCCACTGAGTTTGATTGCAGAGTCATCAACTGTCTATCCAGCGGTAGCCTGCCTTTGCATGTGAAGATATGAAACCGACGGATTGATGAAAATGATGATTCTGTAAATCCCATGGTGGCATGTGATTTTGTGCTTAATAAACCGTTCGGTTGGTTGTCACAAGTTAAGTACGAGCGAAGCAGTTTAACACGAGGTACGATCAACTTCTCTCTGAGGGTAGGGGTGAGGGGCAGAAGCCGGACATTCCGGTTATTCACAGCCTGCCAGACTTGTGGCGTATTGCGCGATAAGCAGCGGTTGAACGAACTGCTGAATGAATCGCATAATTCAGACCGTTTAGCGAAGCGCGCAGCGCACGGGTGTAACATGTCCCAGTGTTCGTGGATCGGAATGAAATAGAGTGAGTGTTCGAGGTGGCGAACCGATTTGAGGCCAATTTGCGTGCTCGTTAATTACCGCGTAAGATAATTCGCCTCCGACGACGACAGCTTGCAGATAAAGGTCGGAGCGGAGTTCTCACCATTCGGTCCGTCCGTTAATAGGTCGTAAGTCTTGCCTTGCCCGTCAATCGAAACAAGTGCAGGCGACGGCGGGGGTGACGCTTACGGCAGCGACTGTCCCCGTTCTTCCGTCGTTGTCATGTGTGCCTGTAGGCGCAGAAGTTCAGGGCCAGCAAAAACGACGGCCTTAATTAATTGCTGCTGCACTGCTGTCCATAAATCGTAGTTCGCGTCCTGTCGCGCAATCCTATAGTGTATACGTAACGCAGACGCACTGGCAATGACAAACCGAGGTTGATGATTGCGGGCCTTCGCAAAATGCGGCGTATTGTCGCAGTTGGTGACATGTCTACCACTGTTGTGAAGAGGTCTTCATAAAAGATTAGCGTACAATGAAAAATGTGTCGCATTTGGTTCAAGCTTGAGATGGTTGCTTGTTTTCTAAGATAACCGTGTTACTTATCCATCCATCGATCTATTTTAGGACCTGGATTTTCCTTCGGGTTGCGGGGTATTGCGCTCAGGAGTTGACGTCATTGTTGTTGGTCTTGAGCCATGGAATTGACCTCAGGCAGTAAGTTTGCAAGTGGAGTGCCGAGATGCTTAATGCACTTGTACGAATTCTTGATAGGTCTTCCTTGAGACCTGACCTTCTGTCGGTCGGCAAGCCAGGAGCAGTTGTTTTTGCCTCGTTTTTGGCGGCGTTCAGAAATCGTGCTCGAAACCACATCAACTTCGTTGTTCCATTCTTGAAAAGTGACCTCTCGATCTTCGTGAATCTTCGAATCACGGAGTTGAGGATTTTATCCAAATGCATTGCTCCAATGATTCTTCTGAGAAATTCCACCTCCGCCGCTTGTACTCACTGTCTCATTTTTCGGTCAACGATTCGGTAGAGTGGACGCATCACTTCACTTACCATACCGATTCATCGATCAGTCTGTTCTTCTGATCTTTAGCCATTCTTAAATGTGACCCCGTGGTATTTAAACTTCTATACGTGTCTCGTGTGACGCTACTAACCTGTTAAACGCACCGAGCAGGTGATCGAGGGCAGGTGACCACAGCAACTTCCAATTTTGCCATGTTTATCCGCACTCCGGCCACTTCACAGTCCTATCGAGTGCGTTCTGGACATCCATTTCAGATGGTCTTGTCGCCATGGCTGATTCTGGCTATGTTGTCCGTACAGATAAGGAACAGAACTAGTGACAAAGCGTACGCACCTTCCATACTACTTATTAAAGTATTAAGTTCTTACTATGTGATACGGACATAACTCGGTCACAACGGATTTTACGGCGTCATGGTACAGACTGTATCTTCACATGCATGTTTCGTACAAGACACAAATTTGGTGAACGGCAAGAAGTAACAAGTAACTTTGCAGCGAATGTCACCGCGGAGCAAAGATGTGGACGGTTGTATTTTGAAATTTCATAATTCAGCACAGAATATAAGCGATAAAAGATATTAATAAATCATCGCGTTAAACGGAGTTACGCCGCACACTTGTTTCTTTAGGTTCGTTTGAAAATGTCAACGCTCCATGGCATTGTCTTGAACGCGGTTTGATGGTGACAAAATGAATTGTAATTTGCTATTCAAAAGCAGAATTACTTCGAAATGAGCAAGCGCAAAGTAAACTAACAAACTAACTGTTTGTTCACGTTACTGTAGTTTTTTGAAATCTTCCTCTTCCTCCAGTTACTTCGTTGTCGAACTGATTTTCTTGACTTCTATTAAGTTATGTGATTCTTTGTCTGCATGTACTGGTTATCACAATAATAGTCGGCTTTTGAACGGGTCAAGGCAGATTTCAGTCCTTTGAGGCCCTCGTATCAGGCAGCATAACTTACGGATATCCATTCTAGTATGAACACGTCAGAATACGTGCTGCTCCTGTTGTTCGCAAACAAGCGACTTGTTACTCGACTTCTCGATTATATGCACCAAAGAAATTTATGATGAAGTTGCTCAAGTTAAATAGCGGCGTAGAGAATTTTATTTTACTTTTTTATGGAATACGAATGGTAACCTCCGGAGTTCGAAGCTTACCTCTTACGCCTGTGCCATCGCTCCCAGTCCTATGCAATCTGCCTTCGGTTTTTCATCTTCCTTCCAGTATTTCTACTGTGGCTGTCTCCACAGTTGCAGTTGAAGCAGGAAACCTCCTTGAGGCTTTCATATTCTGGTAAGATGCCTTTGATGTACAAGGGACCCTCAGGCTTACAGCTGGCACACTTCGAGCGGCATGCCCTGGAAGTTATGGCGTGACTCGCTACACACTCGCTCATTAATTAACCTGCATGTCGTTCGGCTGCTGGCTGTTTGCCGTTTCTGTGCATCCGCCGCCTGTCAACGATTGAACTTCTATGTCGTGGCGTCGGTCAGTTGTCAGCTGTCCCATGACTCGGCCGTTGTTGCGAGAACGCCATGACCGGACCGGATCAACCGGTCGATCGGTCAAAAACAAGCACTGTTTTTGGTGGGTCACTGACACCGATCGGCGTGACGTTCGATCCGATTTGGGTGACGTCATCCGCGAACGGATATCGTCGGACATCGTGTGAGTGACA